ACCAACCTCAGTCTCTTTGCCCAGCTACTCACATAAGGCAGTGTGAAAGAATAACTCTGCTAACACTTTGTCTGTTTAAAATTCACATTTAGTTTGAATCATAAACTGTGAATAAAAATGAAAAAGATAACTGAATTTGTTGTTTCCAATTTCCAATTTTGTGAGAAGAATCTATTCATTATTATTCACAATATAGAACCTGTATTTTCCACCCTGACAGTATCAGGCTGATGAAATATACATTCAGAGCATAGGAGGAAATGTGAACAAAAAATTTAAAACACACATTGAACTTATACATGTCATATTTATTCCAAAATTTACACTTCAGATGTTGATACTGTTATGTCTTTATTGTTTAACACTAGATATTATCTATTGTACACTTACTATCAAATATGAGTATTTAGATATTTTATTACACTGCTCCCTATATTTCAATTCCTTACAAATTCCCGATAGTTATATAATACTGAGTATATCAGTATTAAGTGTTATAATATAATGTCAATGTCAATACATAAGCCAAGTTCATAAGTTTATATTAAGGCAAAAAATGAAAGAAAAATTATTGAGACTTTTAGTGGGATTATCTTGAATCTACAGAAAAATAGAACAGAATTGATATCTTTATAGTATTTTATCTAGCAATCCATGACATAAAATATCCTTCTATTTATTTAAAAATACATTTTATATTTGTTGGTATTAAACCAAAACCCAGTGATCTTTATATATTAAATTTGTATCTATGCTATTTCCTACTAAGCTCTCTTAACTCAGCTGATAATGTCTTATATAATAATGTCTTTAGGTTCTTAAGGATTTTCTAATTTCAAAATCATGTAATATCAGGAAATGAGAATTTTATTTCTTCTTTCAGTTCTTATGCATGTTATTTGTTTTTTTTTTTTTGCCTTATTGTACTAAGAACTGAAGAAAGATTAAGGAAAAAAGGGGATGGGGACATTTTTTCTTCATTTCTGATCTCAGGGAAAAAATATATCAATAAGTCACCATTAACAATGATGTCTGAGTTTTTTGTTCATAATTTTTATAATTTTAAGAATAATCATTTATAGACTCCATTTTTAAAATTTTTAATCAAATGTTTCTTGGCATCTATCAAAATGATTATATAATTTTCTACTTTTAATGTGGTGACATAGATTGATTTTTTTGCATTTTAAAAATTATTTTGTGTCTTTATGGCCAGTAATACTCTGGGATAGTTAACATACAATAAACTGTACATATTTAAAGTGTACAGTTTGATACATTTGGATATTTGTATAAATCTATAAAATTACTAGAACAGACAAGATAATAAAATACTTATTAACTACAAAAATTTTATCTTGTCCTTTTATTATCTCTCCTTCCACCTTTTTTTATTTTTACTTCTTCCCACTCCCTAGACAACCATTAGTCTGTTTTCTGACACTGTACGTTTGTTTGCATTTCCTACAATGAATTTTTGTCAGATTAATACAAAAGTATCATATTTTTGGTGCCTTAATAAAATACTGCTGTTGTCAAAATTGGAAATTCTGATTGCGAGTATACAGAAATGTAATTGTTATTTGCATGTTTGTCTTATATCCTGCAACCTTGCTAAATACAACTACTATAGTATTGCTTGTTAGTTTTTATTAGTAGCTTTTTTTCTTTTTTGTTTCCTTTGGTAGATTCCACAACATTGTCTATGTAAGCCATCAAGTCAACTGCAGATAAAGACACACTTTTGTTTTTTCCTTTCAAATCTAATGCATATTTTTTTTTCTTCTATATTGCTGTGGCTAGTACCTTCATTAAAATGTAATGTTGACTAGAAGAGGTTAGTATGGATATTCCTTTTTTCCCCCCTATACTTAGGGCCTTAAGTCCTTCAGTCTTTCACCATTTAGTATGATGTTACCTGTGAGTTTTTCATAAGTTCTCTGTCAGTTTGTGTAAGTTCCCTTCTACTATTACTTTGCTCAATGTGTTCATCAGAAATAGATTTTGGATTTTTTCAAATTATTTTTGATGAGTCAGCTTACATTTTTAATATGATTAATTATGCTAATTGACCTTTTAGTGCTAAATCAACCCCATACTTCTGGATTAAACTTCATTTGATCAAGATGTATTATCTTTTTTATGTATTCATGGATTTGATTTCTTAAAAAAAAAAAAAAAAAACTTAAGAATGTCCATATATGTCCTTTATCCTTGGCTGCTTTTAAGCGGATTAAACTTCATTTGATCAAGATGTATTATCTTTTTTATGTATTCATGGATTTGATTTCTTAAAAAAAAAAAAAAAAACTTAAGAATGTCCATATATGTCCTTTATCCTTGGCTGCTTTTAAGAGTTTTAAGAGTTTGTTTTTTTGTGTGTTGTTATTTTTAGTTTGCAAAATTTTAATCTTGGTGTAGATTTCTTTGGCTGTATCCTTTTGGAGTTCCTCAGTTTCTTAAGTTGGTGGGCTGATGGTCTATCACTCAGTTTGAGAAGTTTTCAGACATTATTTGTTTAAATACTCTTTTAGCCCCACCCTTCTTTCTCCTCTTCTCTGTGACACAGTTAATATAAACTTTATATATTTTGTTACTATTCTCTTTATTTTCTGTGTTCTTCAAACTGGGTTCATTCCATTGTTTGTACTTATCTTCATTAATTCTGTTCTCTCTCATCGCCACTGTTATTGAGCTAATCCAGAAAGTTTTTAATTTTTGTTATTGTATAATTTCCATTTGGATCTTTTTTATAACTTGTTAGTTCTTTGCTGAGATTTTGTAACTTTTCATGTAGCTCAAAAGAATTTGTAATTTCTTGTTGAAACATTTTTATTAAGCTTGTTTCAAAGTCCTTGTCAGATAATTTCTAATATGTGATTTATCTTATTGATGCTAGTTGATTACCCTTTTTCTTTCCAATTGTGATTTTTCCAGGTACAACATGTGATTTTTATTATATCCTGCCCAGTTTTTCTATTATGTTAGATGACTCTGAGTCTTATTTAGGACATTTTTTTTTTTTTTAATGCAGGAAATCACTATGTTTAGCACACAGGTTTGTGGGCTGTGGTTTCATTTACAATATCTGCTTTAGAGCTTGTTTGGTGCTGCTTTGATCTGATTAATTTATTGTGTGTTGCTGGGGCTCCCGCTGTTCCCTGCTGGTGTTGTTTGAGGAGATAAACAGTGCTTTCCCAGATTGGACCCCTGCTGCCACTAATTAGATGAAGGAATGCTTTATCTAGTGGTGTCTGAGAGCCTTTTGGGGTCACTGTTTGTAGTGGAGGGTCACCTCCTGCCTGGGAAGGAGGTGGGGTGATGGGGATGTTGAGGACGGGTTACCCTTGTTGGGACTCTCCAGCACTGTGGTGTCTCTAGGTGGGAGAGGGTAGTCTTAGGCTCTTGAGGGCAAAGTGATTTCCCTCAGTAGGCACTTATGATGAGATCCTCCTGCTAGTGTTCCTGGTCACATTATGCCTCTGGGTGGGGAAGAGGATTTGCACGCCCAGTGGGAAGGAGAGCTCTCTGCTCTATGCCTATTGTCACCAGGGTTTCTAATCAGTCCTCTTCAGCGGTTCGGTGAGTTTGCCTGGTGTTGCAGAGACTCATTCAGACCAGGGGTTGTGTGAGCCTTGCAAGGTTGCCTTCTGTTTTTATGTTGGGGATCAGAAAATGCCAGGCCTGATTGATGTTTTTCTTTTGGGCAGGGGCATGTAGGGCACCCAGCCTCTCAGACCCCTAATCAGTTCTCATTTCTCTTTTCATCATTCAGAGTCCCTTTTTGGTTGTCACCTGCATTTTTTTCAGTGTTTGTAGTTGTTCTTACTGGGGAGGAGCAAAGAGGAATGAGACTCTTTTATGTTGGGGATCAGAAAATGCCAGGCCTGATTGATGTTTTTCTTTTGGGCAGGGGCATGTAGGGCACCCAGCTTCTCAGACCCCTAATCAGTTCTCCTTTCTCTTTTCATCATTCAGAGTCCCTTTTTGGTTGTCTCCTGCATTTTTTTCAGTGTTTGTAGTTGTTCTTACTGGGGAGGAGCAAAGAGGAATGAGACTATGCTATCTTGTCAGGGCCAGAAGTCTTCTAAGTTGTTTTGATAGCCAATTATTTAATGACTCAAGCTTGAACAATTCTTCTGTATATTTAATAAGAAGTTATATTGTCATATTTATTAACTACTTCTTCACTAATTATTCTTAATTCTCCCCTTAGTTTACATAAGTGTTTAAAAATATAAATATGTTTATATAGTCTCCAGTTATGTTTGCTACCAAAGAATCCTCAGCTTCTTATTCTTTTTTTAAGTTTTTAAAATATTTTAAATTTTACATTGCTTACATTGTTCTAGATATGATTTTTGGAGAAATTGAGATTATTTTAACTGGTAGAAGTAGACAAACTAATTTCATAGTTGAGAGTTATTAACAACAGACTCCATCATTATACCTAGTTTGCAAGGAAAAGAAAAGAAAATATTTAAAGGTGTAGCAGGACAGTAATGCCCATTAATTTTTTAAGAAAGGGTTTGAGTGAGTTGGGCCAATTTTATTTAATTTGAATTAACACTCTGGTCAATATCTGCAGGATCATTTTTTCTTAGATCTCCAAAGCTTATCCTATTTAATGACGCATAGTAGATGCTTAATAAATATTTACTAAATTTCTAAGTACAGTGATTTGAACATTACGTCTGTCTTTCAGTAGATTTTATGCTCCCTCATATTGCCTAGTATAGGCCATAAATTCAGGAAGACCTTGACAAGTGTGAACAGATGGTGCACACTGTACATGAATGGGGGACCACAGGGTGGTGAGGAGAGGCAGGACACTGGTGGCCGTATTACTGAAGCATCAGTTTACTCCCTCTGTCTTTCATAAAATGTTTCTGACCTTTAGGGAATAATGGGAAGTGGAAAAGACAATGAATAATTTCAAGGTTTTGCAATGGCATAAAGCTTGGTAAACGTGATAAAGATTGCGTTCTTTTCATTCTTAGGTTCAGGTTCTTCGGAATGCTGGAGAAGAAGTGACGCTAACAGTGTCTTTTTTAAAAAGAGCACCTGCTTTCCTCAAACTCCCATTGAATGAAGACTGTGCATGTAAGCATTTATGAAGAATGAATAAAATGTTCACATCGTCATATTCTCTTTGTAAACCATTATTTTCTGATAGTAAATTTGCTATCTGTTTTTAAAGTTAGGATTCCTGGCTGAATATAAACATTTTATATCAGAAAGTGCTCTGCTAACCTTTATGAGAAGGGAGCAGATGTTATTTTTGTTTCAGAAAGTATTCACCACATTACCATTCTTTTCCAACCTGTAGCAGAAGTGTTGTTTTAAAAATGGGTATCGTATCAAATATCCTGTGCGCATTATGTATCTCTATTAAATTTCATTCATAGTATTTGGTGAATACATTTTCTCAAATCAGACCATGATAAACAGTTGATCCTTCTGTGGGGGCGCTGACCCCACATAGTCAAAAATCCACCTATAAATTTTGAATCCACCCAAACTTAACTACTTAACTACTACCCAAGTACACTATGCCCAAGTTGAAGCCAGGCCATGCTGTGCACCCCAAGCCCTGCAGGTGTGGGGGAATGGGGGCACCGCATCCTTACTTAAAGTAGTTTACGACTAAACTACTTAACTACTTACTAGTAGCCTACTAATAGCCTACTGTTAGGTAGTCCACTTAACTGTGTCAATATAATTTTTCCAATATATTTATTGAAAAAAATTCAGGTATAGGTGGACCAATGCAGTTCAAACCAAAGTTGTTCAAGCAGCAACTGTGCTCTGATTTGATTACTACTCTTGCCAAACAAGATTTACACTGAAGTTGTCCTGATGACAGTCAGAAGATTGAAGGAAGAATTTGCCTTTGTGGAAATGTAATAATTTACATAAGACTTACTTAAAACGTTCTTTATCAATTTTCCTTCCTTGCTCTTTGTTTCTGAAATAAAATGTACATTATCTAATATTTTTGCTAAAAAAATTAAAGAATATGTTTTCTCTGAGGCATAATTTACATGCAATAAAGTACAAAGATCATATTAGCACCATGCTCTAAGCACCTGCGCTAACTTGCCAGGTAAGTGCAAAGATCTTAAATGCAGTTGGATCAGTACTGAAAGGCACACATTTGCTTAATCCCCTCTCCTTTCAGTCTCAGAACAGTTTTTCTGTGGCTCTTCCCACTAAACAACAGCCATGTAAACACCCACTAACTTAATATCTCACCATCTATTATTTTCAGCATATATTATTTTGCCTATTCTAGAACTTTCTAAAATGGAACCATACTGTGTGTAATTTTTTATTTCTGGCTTCTTTCATTTTGAATAATTTCTTTCAGATTTACCTATGCTATATATTTCAGTAGTTTGTTCATTATATTGCTGTGTGATATTTCATTTTATGAATATAATAAAGTTTGTTAAAGCATTCTCCTGTTGTAGGTACCAGAGCTGTTTCCAATATTTTGCTATTATAAATGAAGCTGCTATAAACATTTTTGTACAGGGCTTTTGGCAGTTTTATAATTTTCTTTCACTACAGTAAGTAAATAACTAGGAGTGGAATTCCTGAGTGACGGGAGAGATGTATAATTAACTTGTTAATAAATTGCCAATAACTTGTTAATATTTCAAAAATGAAAATATTTTTTATTGTGGTAAATAATACATAACATAAAATTTAACTTCTTAACCATTTTTAAGTGTATGGTATAGTAATGTTAACTATATGCACATGATTGTGCAACAGATCTTCAGAACTTTTTCAACCTGCAAAACTGAAACTCTGTATCCCTTAAACAACTACCCATTTCTCATGCTCCCAACCCCTGGCAAAAATCATTCTATTTTCTGATTATAAGGGGTTGACTACTTTAGATACCTCATTAAAGTGGAATAATAAAATATTTATCTTTTTTGACTGGCTTATTTCACTTAGCATAATGTCCTTAGGCTTATCCATGTTGTAGCACATCATAGAATTTCATTCCTTTATAATATTGAATAAAATTCCATTGTATGTACATACCACATACTTTTTTTTATTTTTTGAGGGATAAATTATATAATGTTTTATTTTTTAAATTATATGTCCCTGCTGAATCTCGATTTTCTCAGTCTAATGATACATTTTGGTGATTTTCTGGGATTTTTCCTCCTTCCAGCATACCATAGTTTTAAAATCCATTCATGAATCAATGAACATTTAAGCTGGTTCCACCTCTTGGGTATTATAAATAATGCTGAAATGGACATGGTGTACAAATATCACTTCGTGATCCTGCTTTCAGTTACTTTGGATACATACCCGGAAGTGGGATTGCTGAATCATATGGTAATTCTATCGTGATGTTTTGCAAGAACGTCCCTACTGTTTTCCATAGTGGCTGCACTAACTTCCAGCAACAGTGTCAAGAGTTCCAAATTTTTCATATCTTCATTGACACATTATTTCTGGGTTTATTTATTTATTTGTTTGTTTATTCATTTATTTTGATAGTGGCCATCCTAATGATTGTGAAGTTATATTTCATTATGGTTTTGGTTTGCATTTCTCTGATGATTAGCGATGATGAGTATCTTTTCCTATGCTTGTTGACCATTTGTTCATCTCCTTTAAAGAAATGTCTATTCAAGTCTTTTTTCCATTTTTTAATTTAGTCATTGGATTTTTTTGTGTGTGTTTTTTGGTTTCAGGGCTTGTTGAATTGTAGAAGTTCTGGATATTAACCCCTTATCAGACATATAGTTTGCAAATATATTCTCTCATTTCATAAGTTGCTTTCTCACTCACTATATTGATTGTTTTCTTTGCTGCACAGAATGTTTAATTCTTCTGTAATCCTATTTGTCTTTTCTTGTTTCTGTTGCCTATGCTTTTGGTGTCATGTCTAGGAAATCATTCCCAAATCCAGTGTCATGAAGATTTTCCCTAAGTTTTCTTCTAGGAATTTTATAGCTTCAAGTCTAATGTTTAGGTCTTTAGTTTATTTTGAGTTAATTTTCATATATAGTGTAAGGTCAGGGTTCAATATTTATTTTTTCACAATTGGATATCCAGTTTTCTCAAAATAATTTGTTAAAAAGGGTATTCTTCTCCCGTTGTGTAGCCCTGACACCTTGTTGACGATCACTTGATAATGTGTTGAGAGTTAATTTCTGAATTCTCATTTTGTTGGTCTATATGTCTGTCTTTATGCCAGTACCATACTTTCTTGATTACCATAGCTTTGTAATATATCTTGAGGTCAGAAAATGTAAAGTCTTCATCTTGGTTTTTGTTTGTTTGTTTATTCTCTCAAGATTGTTTTGGCTATTCAGAATTTTTTGTGGTTCAATATGAATTTTAGGTTTTTCTTTTTCTATTTCTGCAAGAATATACCATAGGGATTTTGATAGGAATTGCATTGAACCTGTAGATTGCATTGGCTAATATGAACATTTTAACAATGTTAATTCTTCCAATCCATAAACATGGGGTGCTTTCCATTTGTTTGTATTGTCTGTAACTTTTCAACAATGTTTTTTACTTTTTGGTGTATGAGATTCTTACCTCCTTGATTTAGGTTATTCCTAAGTATATTATTCTTTTTGATGCTACTGTAAATGGGATTGTTTTCTTAATTTTTATTTTTGGTTGTTAATTGTGATTGGATAGAAGCACAACTCATTTATGTCTGTACTTTTTCTATTCTGCAACTTTACTGAATTTGTTTATTACTTCTAACAGTTTTTTTGTGGAATCTTTAGGATTTTCTACATATAAGCTCATGCCATCTGTAAACAGATATAATTTTACTTCTTCCTTTATAATTTGGATATTTTTATTTCTTTTTCTTGCTTAATTGCTCTGGCTAGGGCTTCCAGTACTATGCTGAATAGAAGAGTTGAGAGTGGGCATCCTTGCCTCGTTCTTGATCTTAGAGAGAAAGTTTTACATTTCCATCCTTCAGAATGATAGTAGCTGTGGGCTTTTCATATCTCGTCTTTATAATGTTTAGGTAATTTCCTTTCATTCCTAGTTTGTTGAATTTATATTTTTAATCATGAAAGGGTGATGCATAATGTTAAATGATTGTTTTCTGCATCAGTTGAGATGATTATGTGCTCTTCGCGGTTGTTTGAGGAGATAAACAGTGCTTTCCCAGATTGGACCCCTGCTGCCACTAATTAGATGAAGGAATGCTTTATCTAGTGGTGTCTGAGAGCCTTTTGGGGTCACTGTTTGTAGTGGAGGGTCACCTCCTGCCTGGGAAGGAGGTGGGGTGATGGGGATGTTGAGGACGGGTTACCCTTGTTGGGACTCTCCAGCACTGTGGTGTCTCTAGGTGGGAGAGGGTAGTCTTAGGCTCTTGAGGGCAAAGTGATTTCCCTCAGTAGGCACTTATGATGAGATCCTCCTGCTAGTGTTCCTGGTCACATTATGCCTCTGGGTGGGGAAGAGGATTTGCACGCCCAGTGGGAAGGAGAGCTCTCTGCTCTATGCCTATTGTCACCAGGGTTTCT